ACAGAATCTGGAATTGGTTATGACAATTCAAAATTTAATTAGTCCTACAGCTAGAAAATAAAATAATATTAGACACGTATTTTTTTATTTTATCGTATATTGTTACAGTACGTATGATATAACGGATTTAAGTTCAGGAGTGGGAGCGGTGACGTAGCTGGTCTCTGTCAAAATGTAATCCCTTAGTCGGGTACACGACACCCACGGGAAGAGGAGTATACTTTGCGGTATTTTATGTAGCCTTGCGAATTGTTACAAAAGTAATGCTTAAATTTTAATTTAAACTAGAATGTTAATAACTGTATTTCACAATGTCCGGAAACCTTTCAGTTTGACCATGAATTGTTAAAAAGTAACTGAATATAATTGTAGGCATTCATTTATTATTATAATTGCAAATATGTAGTAGAACATAAAATCTAAACTTGATTCTTGTCTTGTCTTGACAACTTCATGAATGTGATGGAAGCTAAAGAAGTATGTAAGGAGCGTAGTAGGTGACGCTCTGTAGTTTCTGTATACCATCAGATGTATGAATGTGATGGAAGCTAAAGAAGTATGTAAGGAGCGTAGTAGTTGGCGCTCTGTAGTTTCTATATACCATCAGATGTATGAATGTGATGGAAGCTAAAGAAGTATGTAAGGAGCGTAGTAGGTGGCGCTCTGTAGTTTCTGTATACCATCAGATGTATGAATGTGATGGAAGCTAAAGAAGTATGTAAGGAGCGTAGTAGGTGGCGCTCTGTAGTTTCTGTATACCATCAGATGTATGAATGCGATGGAAGCTAAAGAAGTATGTAAGGAGCGTAGTAGGTGGCGCTCTGTATACAGAAGTATACCATCAGATGTATGAATGTGGTGGAAGCTAAAGAAGTATGTAAGGAGCGTAGTAGGTGGCGCTCTGTAGTTTCTGTATACCATCAGATGTATGAATGCGATGGAAGCTAAAGAAGTATGTAAGGAGCGTAGTAGGTGGCGCTCTGTAGTTTCTGTATACCATCAGATGTATGAATGTGATGGAAGCTAAAGAAGTATGTAAGGAGCGTAGTAGGTGGCGCTCTGTAGTTTCTGTATACCATCAGATGTATGAATGTGATGGAAGCTAAAGAAGTATGTAAGGAGCGTAGTAGGTGGCGCTCTGTAGTTTATATATACCATCAGATGGTCGACCTGTAACGAACTATGTAACAAAATCTAAGAATCAGAATTACACACACTTCTAACTGTTGTATCATCATGGAACTTGGCAATTGTATGCAGATTAGATGACAATACAATATGATGGTGCCATCGAGCTGGTTTGATGATGGAATTGGAAGGTGGCTGATGGAACCTTGGACTGTCTACTGGTAAATATTACTGGGTTTGGGCTCATTAAATATATTAGCCGGCCATTAAATATATCTTTATATAATATATAATTCTTCTATAAGTGTGTATGTCACTGAACTTCTCTCAAACGACTGGACCGATTTTGATGAAATTTTTTGTGTGTGTTCAAGGGGATCCGGGAATGGTTTAGATTGACAAATCAGCCCGGCAGATGGCGCTGCAGTCGATGTTTAGGTTATTTATCCTAAACAGCTGAACTAATTTGAATGAATTTTTGTTTATACATTCAAGTGGATATGCAGGACAACGTCTGTTGGGTCCGCTAGTCAGTTTTTTTATAATAATGAATGTTTAAAGCTTATTTTTAGTTTTTTCAACTATACCATTAATTTATAAAGTTAAACGTGTGGTTCCAAATTCCGAATTCAAAATATACCGTTACATGCGCACGATTTGATAATTTATTACAATACTTAAGTCGATCGATTTGAATTTAAATTTTTCAATTGTGGTTGTTGGGCTCATTAACTGCGAGGTTACAAGTTCGAGACCCGGCAAGTGACATTGTTTTTCTGTGAATAATTAATTTAAAACTGTCACTATATATACTATAAATAATTATATGAAATTGTTGGTTGAACATGTTAATGGTCGTATGTGAGGGTTGCAGTTTGATACTCGAGTTGGGTAAATATTTTGTGACATTATATTGTTTACTAGCTTCTTCCCGCGACTTCGGACGCGCTATCCCGTTTTTTCCCGTTCCCGTAGGCTTTTCAGGAATTTTATCTGTCTTAAGAACCTTCTCCTGACAATAACAAACACAACAAAAAAAATCAGCCAAATCGGTCTAGCCGTTCTCAAGTGGCGTGACAACGGGAAACAGGTTTCATTTTTATATTAATATACTAGCGGACCCGACAGACGTTGTCCTGCATATAATAAATAATAATAATAATAGGTATAGATAAATAACCTAAATACCGACTGCAGCGCCATCTGCCGGGCTGATTTGTGAATCTAAACCATCCAGGGCGCCACACAAACGCGTACAGAAAAAATCATTTAAATCGGCGAAGCCGTTTCGGAGGAGTTCAATGACATATACACGTACATCAGAATTATATGTATAAAGATATATATTATAGATTTTACAATAATGGCATGAAATATTGTTAATGTTCGTTTATGGCAATAGGCTCACCCCCTATTATGTGGGACTCATAACACAAATGACGAACATTTGGTTATATATAATTCAATGGATTTCTGCCTGATTGTGTGATTAAAAGCCTGTTCTCTCAATGTAACATTATGACAATATTTTCAATATTATTCTAGAACATAGAATAAATATAATCTGTTGCCTTAATTATCGTATTTTTAATTTTATGGCCCATAGTAATTAGGTACAATTTTGTATTTTTTAATATTCGTTGTCATGTTTTTGATAGAAATAGATTTCCTGAACACTCAAGGTTAGAGATACTTCTAGAACTACTCTACAATTCTCTAAAATTACGTTTTTTAATTAAGTGTGGGAGAGCCATGCTTCGGCACGAATGGGCCGGCTCGACCGGAGTGATACCACGGCCGAGCAGATGACCGACGTGAAGCAATGCTTGCGTTGTGTTTTGTCGTGTGAGTGAGGTTACCGGAGGCCCAATTACCCTCCTCTTTCCCAATCTCCCCAATCCCTGAATCAGCAACGATCCTCAAACTCCTAATCCCCAAAAGGCCGGTAACGCACTTGTAACGCCTCTGGTGTTCCAGGTGTCCATGGGCGGCGTCAATTGCTTACCATCAGGTGATCCGTCTGCTCGTTTACCGACTTATTCAATAAAAAAAAAACAACACTATTAGTACTACTTGATCAAGAGTCTGTGATCCCGTGGTCGTGGTACCAGGTTCTGGTAACCCACGTCATTGGGGGGGGGGCATTCGAGGAGCCAAAGCCAACTACGCAGAGGCCTTTTAGACAACTTTAATCTAAATGTAATGGACACACAATTATTGCTTCTATTATTATATTACTTACTATTATTAAATATTCTCATTACTAGCTCCTGCCCGCGGTGTCGCCCGCGTTCTCATAATAAAAATTTGTTAAATAAACCCCTATTATGTATTATTACGAACTATTTCTATCTGTGTACTGAATTATATGGAACAACTTAAGTTATCTGACATAAGCTAAGTAGTAAAATAGTATCATATGTATACTTATTATACAAAGCTTAAAACTCTTTTTGCTTGTTTGTTTGTTTGTTTGTTTAAACGCGCTAAACTCCAGAACTACTGGTCCGATTTGAATAATTATTTTTGTGTTGGATAGCGCATTTATCGAGGAAGACTATAGGCTATAAAACATCACGCTACGATCAAAAGGCGCTGAGCAGAGTGGGTTAAATCGCGCGTAAATAGCGAATATCAATACATAGTATAAAACAAAGTCGCTTTCGCTGTATGTCCGTATGTATGCTTAGATCTTTAAAACTACGCAACGGATTTTGATGCGGTTTTTTTTAATAGATAGAATGATTCTTAAGGAAGGTTTGTATGTATAATACATGCATATTGCACCCGTGCGAAGCCGGGGCGGGTCGCTAGTTAAATTATAATACTGAGAAAGATACATATAACCACATAATACCTAAATAAAGATGAAACTAGTTTTTCAACGAAAACTGGTTACTGAGATCCGCACAGTAAGACGGATAGACATTCCTTTGATACGGTTATATTATCACGCTATGCTAAAAATAGAGGACATTAGGAGTAGATCTTAGAATTTGATTTTATTACAAAACTAGACTTTAAAATAGTAAATATTAGCTATTTACACAAACCACCCGTAAACCACCTCTTAACTAAGAGTTACTTAGCGACCTCGAACCCTTCAGCGGTATTGACGTGAATGAGAAACCTAATAAACAAATTAACAAACACACCTTCGCATTTATATTATTAGTAGGAGGTACCACACACCTCTGTCTACCCCTTCTGGGAGGTAAAAGGAGTTAGATAAACTGTCAAACACCAAGCGGTCACCGGTGACCGCAACCTATTGTTATATAATTGTGTCTACAAAACCGGTACTCGACGACTTAAATTATGTTATTAAAATATAAAAATATCAATAATATTGATAAAATAAGAAATATTAATTACACTTTCAAACTTGTACTGTAAAATATGTATATAACATAACATAACATCACGCCTTTTTATCCCCGAAGGGGTATGCAGAGGTGCACATTACGGCACTTAATGCCACTGTACAATGTAACACCCACTTTTCACTATTTATGTTATGAGTCCCATGTAACAGGGGGTGAGCCTATTAAAAAAAAATGTATATGTACTTTAAAATATAGTGATTGTTGAATAAGAGTAACCTATGGAGTTTCTTGCTCGTTCTTCTCCATAGAAATCTACACATTGGAACGAGCAAATAGAGCAACTAGAGGACTGACGGTCAGACTGATACTATATTTGTTGTTTATAGGTGAATTTATAGGTGTCATTAACATTCAAAAACACTTTTATTTTGTTTTAAGGGAATTACTTAGTTATAAATAAATATTGTACTGAACCTAATAACAAAAAAAATAATATGTTTAAACATTTTTTCCAGAAAAAAAAAATTAATAAAAAAAACGACTCACCTTACGAATTGTTTCTTTCACAATTTTCTTGTTTTTTCAATCACTACAAGACGTACTTGCGTACTTTTATTTAATAATAATTAATTATTTTATTAAATAATTATTATTGTTTGTTTAACACTCGTCAGCTTGCCATGAAGGATGGCTCAGTACTAGGCTGCGTACGCGCAACAAACTGTCGAATAAGGATTATGGCATAAAGGCCAGGTGCGCGCAACCTTTGGCTAGTCTGCAAAGGCCGTCGAATTTTAAACGGTTTTATTTAGCTTACCCCATTTGTTGGTTTGTGTCTAATTTAGTAATTGGTATTCCACCCCCTTCCTGATGACAGATCAGATATTTGGTACACACTCTTAATCTTGATGACCATACAATATTATCTATGTTTTCTTCAACTAATTTTTCTTTAATCCCCACTGCTGAGCAAAGCCTTTTCTCACAAGGAGCAGGTTTGAAGCATTAATCACCACGCTTGCTCAATGCGGGTTGGCGATTTCAAACTTATAATTTGTAATAATTAGAATTTCACCCCCTTCCTGACGACAGATCGATCTGATATTTGGTACACACTCTTAATCTTGATGACCTTACAATATTATCTATGTTTTCTTCAACTAGTTTTACTTTGTGTGATCCACAGATTGTTGTTCCGGGTCTGTGTGTCATGTGTATGTGAACTTGTATGTTTGTAAACGCACCCACGACACAGGAGATAATCCTAGTGTGGAGCCATGTTTTTGAAGCTCACCTAGGTATATTTATTTTTATTAAAAAAAAAACGTATCCCCACATTAGGTTTTCTCCTGTGTCGTGGGTGCGTTTACAAACATACAAGTTCACATACACATCACACCCGAAACAACAATTTGTGGATCACACAAAGTGTTGTCCGTGCGGGAATCGAATCCGCGACACGTTGCACGGCAGCCGGTTGCCCAGCCACCGCACCAACCGTGCAGTCATTTTGTCATATTGCAAAATATTTAGTTATAAAAATAAATGCTTTTAATAAATCACGTCGTAAAATTGTTTTAAAATCTTTCGACTGTTCTCACAATTGATTTAAATAAGCAAAACCAAAAAATTGTGTCATTTAAAGTAGGTCTATAAAAAACGTCAATATATATTTTTTTCTTGTTATACTTACTTAAAGATCGAGGTCCGAATGTGCAACACCTCTGCGCCCGCGCACGACCCGCGACTACCTTTGTGTGACGTCACCACACTCTAGATCAACATACGATATACGACACAAACATACACTTCTGTTATTGTACAATTTAAATACTTGACTTTTTGTGGTTTTTCTAGATATATTTATAGTTTAATTATACTACGCGTAAAGCTATACAAAACCAGTATAAGCTGACCGTCGAATGTACGGAACAGTCATACGAAGCGAGGTCACGATAAATTGGTTTTGTATAGCTCCACGCATCAAGGTATGATAACCAGTATAAACTGACCGTCGAATGCGTACAACGGTCATACGAAGCAAGGTCACGATAAATTGGTTTTGTATAGCTCCATGTATGAAACTATTATAACTAACCAGTATAAGCTGACCGTCGAATGCGTCGAACGGTCATACGAAGCAAGGTCACGATAAATTGGTTTTGTATAGCTCCATGTATGAAACTATTATGGATATCCAGTATAAACTGACCGTCGAATGCGTCGAACGGTCATACGAAGCAAGGTCACAATAAATTGGTTTTGTATAGCTCCATGTATGAAACTATTATATCTAACCAGTATAAACTGACCGTCGAATGTGTGGAACGGTGATACGAAGCGAGGTCATGATAAATTGGTTATGTATAGGTTGATGTGTTACCGGGTGTACACACGCCTACACATCGAGCTTTACATAACCAGTATAAACTGAACGTTAAATGTGCGGAAAGATGATGCGACGCGACACCAGGATAAACTGGTTTTGTATAGCTCGATAGGTTACCGCGTGTACGTCATAAGTGTGGGAGAGCCATGCTTCGGCACTGCTGTGTCAGCTCGACCAGATTGATACCACGACCTCACAGAAAACCGACGCGAAACAACGCTTGCTTTATGTGCAGCAGTATTCGTTACTGGAAACCCTCATCTCCTATCTGTGTATCCCCAGATCCCTAATATCTCAACCCCAAATAGCTGGCAACGCATTTGTAACTCCTCAGGTGTCCTTGGACGGCGCTGATTGTTTAGTTTGAAAGTGTCGAGAAGAGCTATATAGAAATGATCCTATCAAGTAAGGTCTAATGAAGTCAGGTTACCATCAGGTGACCGGTCTGCTCGTTTGCTGGCCTTTGCCACCAACAGCCCATGGCAGTCCTAGTCCTCTACTGGCCGACGATCTCCGGTCACCGTAAGCGCGGGCCTGCGGACGGCGAGCATGGGTGCCTCCCCGTCCGACCAGAAACAGACCCGAGCGTACGGCGCATCGCGTTCCGCGCTCGCCTCAAAGAGCCATCAGAACACCACGGATGGGGCCCAATACGGCCGATGCCGATTCGGAGTCGCGGAGAACCTAACGGGTAACCGGGGCTCCGGCTCGACGTGCAGGAGAAGGAACGGGGTGATTTTTAGTCAGTAAGAGTCCGACACTCCCTCCCGCCTCACCCAGGCGGGAGCAGTCATTCGATGATTTTACTCACTTAAAAAAAAGTCCTTTACTGGACAATTCTTCTTCTTCCTAGTCGTTTTCTTCATTACTGGTGGTCGTGTCTAGTCTGGTGCACGCGTCACTTGATGCACAACCCTCCTCCAAACTGGACAATGGACCTCCTTTATTAACGTTTTAAAAAGAAATAGCGTGAGGAAAAAGTATTTTCATCAACAGCCTATAAATGCCCACTGCTGAGCAAAGCCTCTTCTCACACGGAGAAGGTTTGAGCATTAATCACCACTCTTGCTCAATGCGGGTTGGCGATTTCCAACTTATAATTAGAAATTATAAGCCCAGGTTTCCTCGCGATCGGAGCCGCGGAAGACTTAACGGGTTGCCGGGTCTCCGGCTTGAAGTGCAGGAGTAGGAACGGGGTGGTTTTTAATCAGTAAGAGTCTGACACTCCCTCCCGCCTCACCCGGGCGGGAGAAGTCATTGGATGATATACCCCCGTCAAAAAAAAAAATAAGTTTCCTCGCGATGTTTTTCCTTCACTGTTTGTCAGTGGTGTCTGGATAATCTTAGAAAGTACATATAACTCGGAAAAAGTCACATTGGTACTTGCCGTTGGTAGGTTTCGGAACCGCATTCTCTTGCATCTTAAACCTCCGGGCCACCATGACCCTAGTCAGAAGAATAGTTGTTACCTATTATCAGCACAAAGAAAATGGTTTTGTAGTATTAAAAAGACATAGCGTGATATAAAAAGTAGTTTTAAACCTTCCGCTGGCCTTTCCTTAAAGAAAAAGGAAAAATATGTTTTTATTAATGTCTAATTGTCTAGTCAGAAGAATAGTTACCAATTATCAGTTCAAAGAAAACAGTTAAGTAATGTTGATTTTTATAGAGGTATACCACGACGTTGACAAGTAAAGCACACGGCCCACCTGATGGTAAGCAGTTACCGTGGCCTACGTAAGCTTGCAACACTTGGGCCAATACATGCGCCTTGCCGACCTTTTTTTTTTAATGGCGAAAGTCATCGAATGACTGCTCCCGCCTCACTCAGGCGGAGTGTCAGACTCTTACTGACTAAAAACCACCCCGTTCCTTCTCCTGCACGTCGAGCCGGAGCCCCGGTTACCCGTTAAGTTCTCGGCGACTCCGAATCGGCATCGGCCCTGTTGGGCCCCATCTGATCTGATGGCTCTTTGAGGCGCGCACGGAATGGTCGGCGCCGTACGTTCGGGTCTGTTTCTGGTCGGACGGGGAGTCACCCATGCTCGCCGCGCTGCTTAGCTAGTTAGCTAAGAACCAGGGACATAGGATACTTTTATCCAATTTTTTTTTTACTTTTTACCGAAAATCATGAGCGGGACCGGGAAAAAATGGGATTGCGCATACGAAGTTGCTGGCAGAAGCTAAATTAATAATAATCTTAAAGGTCGAATTTCAACAACATGCCAGCGACATAAATGACTATAATTTTACACGAAAACAAGAACTTAACATGCAAAACAGGGCATAGTAAAAATATAATGTTACTTGTGTAGGATTGATCGCGGAAATATACACTTAGGTATATACTGGACTAGCTGTTGCCTGCCACTTCGTCCGAGTAGAGTATGTAATTTAGAACATAATTAACTTTATTTTTGTTTCAATTTTCCAAAATAACTACTGACTGCCTGGTCGGCGGAGTGGTCGTAAGTACGACTGCCGGGCAAGGGGTCTCGGGTTCGATTCCCGGGTCGGGTAAAGTGTTACTGGGTTTTAAAAAAAAATCTCAGTAGTAGCACGGAGTCTGGAAATGTAACATAAATAGTGAAAAGTGGGTGTTGCATTGTACAGTGGTATAATGTGCACCTCTGCCGAACCCTTCGGGGATAAAAGGCGTGATGTTATGTTATGTTTCCAAAATAAAAGTAGTCTATGTTACTTCTTAGTACATCAGCTACCTGCCAATAAAAGTCTTGCAGAATCGGTACAGCGGCTGTACCGATTGTATACAGTGACTTGTATACGAACCAGTGTATCTTGATCTCGTTTTATATGATTATTCGATACATTCGACGGTCAGCTTATACTGGTTATACATACCTTGATGCGTGGAGCTATACCAAACCACCATTCTTTGTATGATCATTCCGTACATTCGACGATGTATGTACAAACAAGTTTCTGTTAAAACCAGGGAACAGAGATTTTGGATTGGATTACAACACAAGAGATTATGCCAAATCCCTTCTTGAGACATTCAACAATTGACATATTTTGACTACCCCTTCGGAGAAACAAGTCTTTGTTGAGGGGGAAAATCATACAATCACTCCTTCCCGCCTTTTTTTCAAAATCATCGAATGACTGCTCCCGCCTGGGTGAGGAGGGAGTGTCAGACTCTTACGGAGTAAAAACCACCCCGTTCCTTCTCCTGCACGTCGAGCCGTAGCCCCGGTTATCCGTTAGGTTCTCCGCGACTCCGAATCGGCATCGTCCCTATTGGGCCCCATCTGTGGTGGTCTGATGGCTCTTTGAGGCGCGC